ATTACCTACCCACTGGTCGGCACCCTCTCCATCCTCCAAGCCCTGCCTGTCCTCCTGGCAGCAGCGTGGCGGGGGGCTCTCAGCCGACATCAGGGACGCCCTCTCGTCACACACTTCCTCCTCGCTGTCAGAGGCCATGAACGTGAGCATGGCCCTGCCTCGGGAAGCGCCTGCAAAACGGAGCACAGGGGGCCTCGCTCCAGCTTCCTGCAGGGCCAAGGCAGCAGAGGGCTGGGGGTGTGGCCTGAGGACCCGGACGCGGGCCCTGCCTGACAACCGCCCAGGACATGTGTGTCCTGTGTGGCTGGCACAGACCGTCGGGGGAACGGCCCGAGGAGATCCAGGCCACGGGTGAAACACCCCACGACAAAAGTCGAGGCCACTCCAAACCGCACGCTCGTTCGTCCGATCAACAAACATCCACTGAGCACCGACATTGTGACATCAACCATAAGCCTGCTGGGCTCCGCGGACGTGAAGATGAACAAGAAACACTACCGTCATCCAAAAACAAACAAAAACAAACAAAACAAACAAACCAACTCGGGGCTCAGCCAGTGGAGCGTCCAACCCTTGATTTCGGCTCAGGTCATGATCTCAGTTTCCTGGTTTCGAGCCCCACCTCGGGCCCCGAGCCAACAGTGTGCAGCCTGCTTGGGATTCTCCCTCCTCCTCTCTCTCGGCCCTCCCCTGCTTGTGCTCTCGCTCTCTCTCAAAATAAATAAGCTTTAAGAAACATTACTGGAAAAAAAAAAAAAAGACCAACAATCATCCAACGTGACCGGTTACATAACCTAAGTGTTCACCAAGAGGTACAGAAACCCAAAGGAGGGAGTCAACCTCAGAGATCAGGAACGTCTTCTAAAGAAACCACCAGCCCAGACGGAGACAGAATGTTCCAGGTGGGAGGAAGGGCAGACGGCGCGAAGAAGGAACGTGCCAGTCAGGGCCATGGAGGTGTGAGGGCCTCCTGTGCCACGTGAGGGGGTGTCCGGCCCCCCCGAAGACAACAGCGGGAGGTGGACAGACGCTGACTCACGGGCAGCGGGGTGGATGCCCGTGAGGGGACCGGACCCCGAGAGGGCTGGGAGGACGCCAGTCAGCACTGGATGTGGGGGAGAAACACAGGACAGAGTCCAAGATAGCAGCCAGGCAAGGGAGCCCCGGGCAGGGGACAAGCCCATCTCAGGGAAAGACAGAGTCTGGTCCAGGAACCAGTTGAAAAGGGTCAGGGAGGGGCATCTGGGGGGCTCGGTCAGTTAAGTGCCCGACTTCGGCCCAGGTCACAATCTCGCGGTCCGTGGGTTCGAGCCCCGCGTCGGGCTCTGTGCTGACGGCTCAGAGCCTGGAGCCCGCTTCGGATTCTGTGTCTCCCTCTCTCTCTGCCCCTCCCCTGTTCACACTCTGTGTTTCTCTCTCTCTCAAAAATAAATAAACATTAAAAAAAGGGGGAGGGTCTGGGGTGCAGGGGAGCCACAAGACCACGCGGGATGGGCATGTGCGTGTGTGTGTGTGTGTGTGTGTGTGTGTGTGTGTGTCTGAGACAGAGGAAGTACAGCTGAGGGCAGGACCTCAGGGAAGGCCAGCCCGGAGAGTCTACACAGCAGGGATGCCTGCCCCCACCTCACTGTGCTGTCCCCAGCCGGAGTGTCCTTACAGCAGCAGGATGGGAAGCCAGCGCGGCAGAAGGGCCTAGAAGAGCGTCAGACAACCCCTGGTGGACCAGGCTGTCCCCGCCTCCCCCTGGGCAGGCCTGCTCTCCCACCGACACCCCCAGAGGCCGTGGGGACGCTGAGAGTGCATGCGACCATGCAGTCGCCCCCGGAGCGTGTGATTTCCACACAAAGCAGGTGCCTTCTACCGTCAGCCAGCTCTGCCCTATTTGAAGCCGGCGACGGGGGGCCCGTGGCCCGGGTGACTCCTGAGGGGACCCCCACCTCCGTCCCCCACCTGCGGGCACAAGGCAGAGCCCACACCCCTCCCGGGCCAGCCTCCCGAGGCTTCACGATGAGCCAGCTCCCCTGACCCAGGGCAGACAGACAAAGACCACGTGACTTCACTCACAAGCAGACTTTAAGAGACAGAACAATCGAACATACAAAGAAACCGGCCTTAAACCCGGAGCCCGACAGGGGGGTTGCTGGGGGGAGGGGCGAACAGGTGAAGGGGAGTAAGGGACAGTGGACGGGAGGCACGCTGAGACACGTACGGAATTGTCAAATCGCCACAGTATACACCCGGGGCTGATATTACACCGCCCTTCCATTATTCTTCCATAATAAAGAAAAACAAAAGCTCTAGCAGCAGAGGAACAGAAGCGCCAGAACAGAGAGGGGTGAGCTTCTGCAGTCAAGATCAAGATCGAGATCGGGAGGGGTTGCCCCCTTCCCACGGAGCGGCAAGGTCTGAGGCCAGCGGGGAGGGGCCAGCCAAGGCTTCTGGGCAGAAGCAGGTGTCCACGGCGAGCTTTACGAAAGCAGTGTGCCAGCAGCACCCTCGGGAGGTGGGGGGCTCCTCCCGCTTCGCTGCAAGCCCCCCCTCCCCGGCACCAGCCTCAGCTCAGGGTCACAGGAGGGCGACCAGACCCGGGCACCAGCCCCGTCTGGGGGGGGGGGGGGGGGGCGGGGACACGGCTCAGCAGCCCCAGCACGCTGCAGGGCCTGGGAAGTTTCAGGCTTCGTTCCTTCGTGTGTGGTGACGAAAGACACCGTCTGGTACAGGTCTGGGGGGGGGGGGGCACCTCAAAGTCCTCCCCCTGCGAGTCTCGGTGTCCAAATCCTGAACCAACAGCAGCTTGGACCCGGCAGCTGTCATCACCCATGGCAGCAGCCGTGAGTTCAGTCTCACGCAGGGAGGGGCACTCGAGACGAGAGCTGGTGGCGTCTTCCCAGGCTAGATCATGACACCCCGTCCGGAGCAGGGCCGCGGGTGGGATGGGCACGATATAGCATTTCCCGGCAGTCACTTCTAGGGATGTGAGTTAGCAATATGGTCTCCCTCCTCTTCCTCCCAGGCCCCCCAGGGTGCCTGTGACTGGTGTGAGCAGGGGCTGGAGGGACAGACCTAGGGTCCCCGCATGCAGAGCATCACAGAAGGCACGGGGCAATCTCAGCCTTGGGAACCACGGCAGCCGCAGCATCGTG